TGACTAGACCCACCGAGTCCAAGAACAGACTCGCCGAGCCAAGTCTATCTTCAACCAACTCGCCGAGTACACCCATGTGACTCGCCGAGTACCACTAGCTCTTAACCCATATAGAGGCTTTCAAGCCATGCAAGGTCTCCAATCTATAGATCTACTCTTCTACAAGCCATCCATCATGTAAAGTGGCAAACTTTATGTGAATCCAAGGAGATCTAAGCTTAATACACTCTTAGGCTAAGGTTTGGGACAAAAGAACTTCACCAACAACTCTTGGGCATAGACTTTATGGCTTTCTGGATCATTAACTTAGATCTGAGGTAGCAACCTCAGATCTTACACCAAACACAAGATAGCACCAGATATACTCCCAAAAATCCCACAAATGATAGATCTAGATGGATAACAGCTCAAGCAATGAATCATTACCTCAAGAGAAGACTCCAACGGAAGAATAAGCCAAATCCCTGCAAAGCCCCTTGCTCCAAGCCTCTTAATCTTCAAAGATCTCTTCAACAACACTCCTTCAAGATCCAAATGCTCTCTAATTCTCTCACAAACGAATATTAGGGTTTCTGGACTTCAAGGGAGAGTAAAGAGGCTGGGGAGAGGGTATTATGTTCTTTATATAGGGCTCAACCCCTGGGATTAGGATTTTCTCCACACAGCACCAACTCGCCGAGTCCACCCATGTGACTCGCCGAGTTGGTCACTTAACACGCGACCTGTAACGCGACTCGACTCGCCGAGTCGACCTTCTTATTTACACCTTTAGCCCTTCAACTTTACTTCTGAATTTTCGGTATGTTACAGATGGAAGCGGCCAGTTAGAAAGATGCGTGCAGACAAAGCTTAGCCCGGTAAGGTATTGTTAAGATCTTGAAAAATCACGTCTCGGTTTTGGGGGAAGTATTACTTAGTACTCCCGAGTCTTGCCCGAGCCTTACTTAGTAAGTTTCTCACCACCTTTTTAGACTAGGAAATATTTTTAGGGGTCAAGAATAGATATATAGTTAAGTTTGTTCATCACACCTTATATTGATGAACTTTGAGATAGGTCCCGCAATTCACATTTTTGGGAACACAGTTTTTTTTGTAACACCCATTCTTGAGTCATTCCCCACCCTTAAGCTATGTTGCAATCTCTACGCTATGAAGAGAACAAACAAATGAAGAAAAATTGGAAAGCGAAGCATAAATAGAAGCACTAAAAGAAGATCCGTAGACACGGAAAAAACAAGAAAATTGAAAGAAAAAAAAATAGTATAAAAGAAGAATAAGAGATCAAGTGAAGAATCAAGCTTATGTCTATTAAAAAAACAACGAAAGAAGACAGAAGACCGACGGAAGAAGTTCAAGATTGAAGACTTAGGTTGTCTTAGGTCTAGTTCTTAGATTGAGTCATTTTTATTTTATATTATTTTATTTCTGACTTTTGGTGAGAAAATGCTATGAAGGTGAGACGGTAGATTGTAATGGACAGTACAAGGGAGAAACCTTTGAAACCGAAAGTTTTCCCAAAGTCCATGGCTGAAAGTATATATATTTCGTTATTATACACTTTGGCCTGACAAATGTAGCAATCATCGTGTATGGGGGCATCTTTCCTTCATGAATTATGGTCTGGATTGGCGATATAAAGTGCCCCACTAGGCACATCCCCTGTTTCTTTTTTCTAGCACGTTCTGATGGCTTCCACATCCAGACGAAATCTATTCACCTATCGAGTGGTTCGGGAATGTGGTTTATGGTTATAAAGTGGGGAACACTCGGAGGACACGTAGGGTCCTTGCAAGGCTGACTCTAACCATGTTGACTGATCTTGACCAGGTTCTGTGTTTCTATCCATTCTTTTTTTTTTTAGTATAGTTCATCTCAAGTTCATTATAGTCTTATCTTACTTGAGGACAAGTAAGGTTCAAGCTTGGGTGATTTAATAATTTCATTTTATTTTATTTTATAGTTTATTTTAGTATATTCCATTCACAATTTAACTAATTTTCATTTATATTTTCTTTTTTGTTATTTTATGACTATTTCAGGTACTTTCTAGTTTCATGAGCATAATTGTAGATTTTACGGAGACTAGCGGAGCGAGATCTTTGGGATGCGATTGGACATGGAGGACAATAAAGATTATGGGCTTGATTGCTAGTGGAAATGATGCATGGAACGGGCTTGATGATTAGTTGAAGGTTTTGAGAAAATGAACTTTAAATTTGCAAGAAATAGAAGAATTTTTGTACATCTGGAGATTATTGAGCGGGTGATAACGTAAGCTTTGGAGGATTTGGAAAAAGACAAATTAGACTCAAATTGAAGAAAACTTGAAGACTTGTGGACCACAATCTAATGAAGAAAAATTGGATCAGTAGGCTAAAGCAGTGCAGGCCCAACAAATGGAAATGGCCAATTCTCAGTCACTTCACGCGGCCCACACAAGAATACCACACGGCCGGCATGAGTTCCTGCAAGGGATAATTTCATGATTTTACTTGTGGCTTCCATTTGCGGAAGTTTGCTGGGATTCTTTTGGGACTTTTGTACATCTGAAATTTGGTGATTTCTGTGGAGTTTTGGGAGTTTTTTGAGCACTTGAAGAACATCAAAAACATCATATTTTGCTCTTGATTCTTGCTACATGTTGGGTACTTTTAAAGATATTTTGTTTTCTTGAGTTTAGTCATGCTAGGCTAAACTAATCTTGGTTGACTTTGGTGAAATCACTTAAATGTTGATTGAATGTTGAAGAACTCAATGAACTTGTTCTTGAATCTTTATAAGAATGTTTTATTTTTAACATATGTTTGCTACTTGTATGTTTTTATTCATAAGTTTAAATAATTTTTTGATTATCTAATGGTTCCTCAAATTAGCAAGCAACAAATGGTTCTTGTGTTAGTTTTCACTTCATAGAATTATAAGAACATTTTCTCCAACATGGAAGTAAAAGCATTTAACTCCTTTTAGATTTTTCGACTTTTTGATTCTAAATGCTATTTAATTTTCACTAATTACATGCTTAACATAAATTGTGACTTTAACTAACGAAATTTTTATGAGCTTCTCTAGCTATTTTAATAACTAAGAAAATCCAGGTAATCTCAAGCTTCTTGGATTGCTATAGTTAAGTTAGAGATTTAAAACAAGTATTCCACCTTTGGATTCTAATGATATATTCATCAATTGTTCAAGTGAGGAAACTTAAGTCAACCATCTTCCTCTTATTGATTTTACATTAAACTCTTGTTTTTGTTGAATTGTCTACTTAAATCTTAGTTTAATGAAAAAATTGTAAGAATGGTCCGTGTGGTTAGGTCGAAATTGTCACTTTGGGCAAAACAAGTTTGAACTAGCACTCATAGTCCAAAAGTTTTCATTTTCTTGCCACTTTGGTCCAATTTACTTTAAATTTTTTTATAATGACCATTTTGCCATTTCTTTTTACTTTTTTAGTTATTTATTTATTTATTTAAATTACTTTATAATTTAAAGAAAAATAAAAAAGAGAATCTTTCTCTCACTCACTCTCTCTCTCTCTCTCTCTCTTCTTCTTCTTCTTCTTCTTCTTCTTCTTCTTCTTCTTCTTCTTCTTCTTCTTCTTCTTCTTCATCATTTATCATCTACAAATCAGGAAAAAAAACCCCAGATTTTTGCTACTATGCTACTAGATTACACACATAAGGATACCCCGAAAAACCAGTTTCCTCAAAAAAAAAAATTGCCCAACATCAACAACCTAACTTTTGTTCTTCAAAAACCAGTTTTTTGAAAAAGAAATCGGAAACAGATATTAAAAATAATTGGAAGCATGTGTGTATGTGAAGCATGGTTGTGATATTTACATCTCCGATAAGAACTGGAAGATAGGGCAGGTGAGACACACAAAACCCAGTTCTAAGGGCATCAAAGGGTTACAAAACCCTGCTTCGCACCATCCCTAAATTTGTTTCGTCTTAAGATCCGAGGGCAGTGACGCTAAAGAAGAAGGGCAAACCAACGAAGAAAGAAAGACGATGAATCCTCGAGCAACAGATCTGAGAAATTAGCCACAAACCTGAACATATATGAAGCCAGTGAACATGGTGACGAGGTGTTGCAATGGTCGGAGGTGATGGGTGTAGTTGTGGTTGGAGGTCGGTGAAGAAGACGATGATTCGATGGAGGTGTGTGTATCGATTATGAAGAACAAATCCATAAACAAAATCAATTTTATATGTTCCAAAAAGAATTAGGTGTTTTTTTATGTGTTTTGCAGTGGATGTCGTCTACTTGAGAGAGAGAGAGAGAGAGAGAGAGAGAGAGAGAGAGAGAGAGAGAGAGAGAGAGAGAGAGAGAGAGAGAGAGAGATTCTTTTGTTCTTTTTATTTTTATTTTTTTTGTTAGAAAAATAATTAAATAACAAAAAGATAAGCAAAAAACAAATAGAAATGGGCAAATTCGTCATTTTAAAACATTTTGAACCAAATTCACAACAAAATGAAAACTTTTGGACTATTAGTAATAGTCCAAACCTATTTGGCCCAAAATAGCAATTTCGACCTAACCACAGTGACTATTCTTACAATTTTGTCTAGTTTAATTTTAGTTTTATTTCAAGCATTTCAAAAGATCAAAACCCCCATTTTTATTTTTATTGGCATTTTACAAATATTTTTGCAAAGAAGGTTTCATAAAGTTAAAAAACTGAACCAATTTCTATGGATACAATCCCTTTACCACTATACTATTTTAATATACAAGATTTATGGTTATGAATTTCGTTGGCCTCGACAACCACTTAAGCACTTTCTTTAGATAATTGGATTGACGTACAAAACTGTCTTTGGTGTGCACACTTTGAAGACCCAAACAAAATTCCGTTATACCAAGATTTATCATTTCAAAATTTTCTTTCAAACAAGAAGTGACGTTTCCCAATTCTCCAGGAATTCCAATTATGTTCAAATCATCTATATAAACAGAAATTATGACGATTTTTAATCCGAATCATTTTATGAATACATAAGTCATGTTCTAGCAACCATCAGAAGCACACGATCTTCAGTTGCCACCATGCCCGTCGTGACTCGTGACACCCATAATGTTACGTCAGAAGCACACGATCTTCAGTTGCCACCATGCCTGTCGTGACTCGTGACACCCATAATGTTACGTCCTGACATATGGGTATCCTCAAAAACCATGTACTTGACTCATTTATATCATCAACTATCCATTCTGGAAAATAGATGTTACAACAAGTACATCTATCACCATGTTTCTTTTTTCCACCATAAAATGGGGTAAGGATAAATGATGTTTAAGAAACATTTGAGAAAATAGATGACGTGAAATGGAAGTAAGAACAAATTAGGGAATTTTGTAAAATGTTAGGACTTAATGAGTAAAACATCATTTCGCTGACTTTCTACAACACGTAGATGCAAAATACTTATACATAGTTTTCCAAATTAAGGCATGTCCCCATTAAGACCATTAAGTAAATAACATTCAGCCCCTAATTCGGATGAACAAAACTCCTGACCAGAGAGAGTTAAAGAGAAATTGTACAGGAAAAAAACATAACAAAACAAAGCATAAAACTGAAGAAGAAAAACAAAGAGGGAAAACATCGATTGTAAGCATCACGCAAGGGGAGAAAGTCTTCTGATTAGGAGAGGTAACATACCTTGTTAAAAGTTAAAACACACCGAATGAGGTAATGTGGCTCCTATTGAAGGATGGTTGGAAGCTATGTTGGTAGGGTCATCATGAAGCTCTATAGTCTATACCACGAAGAGTAACTCATCTTCTAATCGGTTACAATCTAAAATAAGATGATGTGTCAGCAATATTTTTTCCGCTCAAAACATGTCCACATTGATGGTATTGAAAAAAAATATTAGAACTAACTTGAATTTGCATGGCCTCCTTAAGTTGGAATGCCACCTCAGCAATCGCAGGTCGTTTTTCCCGAGTTTTTTCCAAGCATTGAGATGAAATAGCTGAAAACTTGAGCAACGTACTTGGTTTGATATCTTTCCTTATTTTGGGATCGATAATTTTGTCTATATCTCCGCTTTTATAGCTGGCTCGAACCAAATGATGGAGGAATCGCCGCTCGTCATTGTAACTGAAATCACACGCGAGCCTTCCGCATAATACTTCAAATAAAACCACACCGAACGAGTAAACATCTGACTCTTTTGTTAAAAATCCTGTTTTTTCGTATTGTGGGTCACAATAACCATATGTGCCAGCAAGGTTAGTGATCACAAACGTGTTCGGTTGATTTGCTAGACCTATTCTTGACAACCCAAAATCAGCAAGTTTTGCATTCCAATTCTCATCTAACAAAACATTGGCGGCTTTTATATCACGGTGTATTATTCTGTGTTTTTCTGCCACGTGATTATGAAGATAGTCCAATGCAGAAGCAACATCAATGCATATTTTGAGAAGTTGTGTCCATGAAGGTCGAACCGATATAGAAGTGTCACGTAAATATGTATCGAGGCTTCCATTGCTTGCGTATTCGTAGACAAGGATCATCTCCTTGTTATCATCACAAAACCCTATAAGTCTTATAATGTTTTCGTGATGATACTGTGAAAGCATTGTTAGCTCGGTGTGGAACTCCTTGTTACCTTGAAAGCCAGTGACATCTAACCGTTTTACAGCAACCAACTGGTTTACATGATCCGCCCAGAAGAGGAGTCCCTTGTAGACCTTTCCGTATCCACCTTTCCCGATGAAGTTTCTTTGGTTGAAGTCTTGAGTACAATCTTTTATGGCCTCAAGGGGGATTTTGAGGTTGTTCGGCTGCTTCATTAGAGACATAATTTGAACTAATAAATATTGATCTAGTCTTAACCAATTTACGCATATACAAAATTTATTGATTTAACCTTTGGGTGAGTAGTTATTAGTGTTTGATCTGAAGTACTTTCAGGGTCAGGTGGAGGTATACTTTGAGTATACATCGCTGCCCTCTGAGCAACCTGAGCTTCTAATATCTATGCACACATACACAACAATAGTTTACCAATATTCCATCAACATAAACAATCGTATAATGAATTTCTTGAAAAATGAGAAATCTCCAGCATTTACCTCTGTAGCATTTACCTCTCTATCAACTCTATCATTTTTCTCTTTCACTGCATTGTTGCATAACATTACAAACAAAAAAAATGTATTAAAAAACAAAATCAAGAGAGGATCACAAATTAGCAAAAAACACAACCACATACATCCTACTAACCTAGAAGAATTGAATTACAGCCTCCACATCCATAAACCAAAACTTCCGGTGGCTCCAAAAGAACTTTCTGGCATCTTGGGCATCGAACTAACCCTAGTTTAGTGTTTACCTCAGACTGTTTTAATAGCGTATCATCTGAACTTTCAAGGTCAAGTGGAAGTATATCATGAGTATAAATTTCTGCCTTTTTAGCAAAATCCATGTGTGCTACCAATATCTATGTATACACAAACATAAATAATTCAAGAAAACTGTGTCAACATATATAAGCAATCTTCAAATGAATTTCTTGAACAGAGATAATTAAATATCCGGTGTTTACCTCTGTATCATGATCTGATACTCTCTCGTTTTCATCCTTAATCACTGCATTGTTACAGCATATTTTAATTAAAAAAAAAACACAGAAAATATTCAAAAATGAAATTCACAGAACATCAAAGAAATAAAATTGCCTACGAACCTATAAGAATTGCATTACAGCCTCCACATACATAGATCGGAACTCCTGGGTCCTGCTGAAATTTCCAGCAACATGGGCATCGAACTAACCTGTAATTATTTCTCATGTTGCTGCTCAGATTTCAAAAAAGCTCCTGACTTTTGAAAACCCTGAAACTTTTGAATAAAAGTTCGTTGAAGATGATTAGAATTAAAGAAATTTAAGGATTAACAGAAGCTAAAATGTTTGACATTTTGTAAGAAATATATTTTACACGAAAGTAAAGAAAATACGTCGAATAATCTTGAATCCTTTTCAATCATAGTTTGATTTTTTTTTCTTTTCTTTCAAGATTAAGGAGTGATTGACATGGGATTAATAAAGAATTAGAAAGCTGATACTCATGTTGGCATGTTGCTGAAGAAAATGACAGCCAATTGAGTAATTATGAACTAGATTTTGGTTGGAATAAGCCAAAATGGCATAGAAAAAGACGAAAGTCAAACATCCAACTTACGTTTCTTTCTCCACTGAGATCCGTTCGCTTTCTAAGAAATTGAACATCACCCTAATATATTCTAAGAAATTGAACATCACCCTAACATAACTACAACCAGAAAACCTCAAGTTATTCAAAAAAAAGAAGCGAAGAAAGAACCCATGGAATTGAAGACTTCCGTTGACCGAAAAAAGAACGGTGGAATTTTTGAACTAAATCGTAAGAACAAGAACCCATTTCTGGAAATTAGGAACACATAATGTATTCCTTTTTTTCAAAAGATCCAAAATTTGAAATATGGAATCAAATCAAGAACTAGGCATATCAAACTAGTATTGCAAGACATCGTCTTTAGCGAGAAAAAAAAAAAGAAGAAGAAGAAGAGGAGAGAGAGAGAGAGAGAGAGAGAGAGAGAGAGAGAGAGAGAGATTCTTGATATATAGATCAGTGATCTAAGCTTCGAAGTAGAGAATCAAATCAAGAACTATGAAATAAGAAAACAACATTTGTTTTTGTATTAGAATAAAGAGGATAAGAACCTGAAAAAAATGAAGCAGCTGGCGAGAATCGAAGAATTTGGAGAGTGGAGTATATAAAATGAAGCAGCTGGCGAGAATCGAAGACGAAGTCCTGTATTGGAGTTATGAAGTTTGGGCAAGTACATCCTCGACAACCGTAAAAATGATCTATGCGGTTGTATGTTTTTTAGGTGTAGTTTGGAACTAGTTTATAGACAAAATTGAGAGGTTGGTCCCTATGGTATGTTAAAAATTAGATGATTGGTTCAAAACGTTTTGGAGTGGCACCGGTGATCCAAAATATTTGATTTGTTGTGGAATTGGTCCAAAGGCTTAACAGTTGTTTATGCCCTCCGTTTGTGTGAGGGTGTTTATGTCCAAAATGATTGATCTTGTAAAGTATTTGTCAAATAAGGGTAACTTTTGAATAAATTACATTCAAGTTTGATTTCACTTTGACTTTCGACTGGTCAAAATAGGAACCCAATTAGAAAGGGGTCAAGGGATTTGTTTTTTGTTCGTCATTTGATCGATCGTCAAGGGGAACGCAAAGGAAACGAGTACAGAACACGAAGGGAAGAACGAAGGCATAATCAATTGGGAGGAAGAGGAGATTGGAATAGGACTGAACTGAAGGCGGTCAAGAAGAAGACACACGAAGTCAGCAAAGGTTCGATCGTTCTTTTGGCTGAAGGAAGGAGGTACGATGACTTCTGATTTTTCATCGATTGATTCGCAATCAGTGATGGCCTCCGGGATTCGACTTAGGCCGAAGAAGAGGAAGGGAAAGGAGAAAACATTATTCGTGTTTGGGAAGATCGATGTCAAAACTACAGTTGAAATGGTTGCGAGCACAAATAGGACTCGTAAGTCAAGAACACGTGTTATTTGGAACGTTGATTCGAGAAAATATTATGTTTGGGAAGATCGATGCAACAATGGAGGAAGTAATCGCCGCTGCAATGACTGCTAATGCTCATAATTTCATCTGGTAGCTTCCGGAAGGATATGAAACGATGGTCGGTGAAATAAGGGCACTTCGAGGTTAAGCACGTCAATTCGAGCCCAACAATGTTCAATTCACCGATGCCTTTCAACGATCCATAATCGCTATCATCATCAAATCACCCACCGCCTTTGTTTTCCCAACTCCTTGCTCTAAACTCGTCGGAATGGAAACAAGCAGTGATCGGGAAGTAGATATTAGGAAGGTTTAATTTAATAAGATAATAAAAGAAGGAGTGTGAATTGACAGAAATACCCTCACACAAACGGAGGGCACAAACGGCTATCAAGCCTTTGGACCAATTCCACTACAAATCAAACATTTTGGACCACCGGTGCAAGCCCAAAACTTTTTGGACCAAACATCCAATTTTTGACATACCACAAGGACCAAACTTGCAATTTTGTCTAGTTTATATGCAGAAAATGTCTCTCCTCAAATTGGAAAGACTAAAATACCATTAATATATATTTTTTTCATTTTTTTTATTGTTTTATCATTTTTAATAAAATAAATGAGGGTAACAAATTACACGAATGGTCCTTTAGGTTTTGTTTTTTTTTCCTAAAGTAGTCTCTACGAAATTTTTTTCCCTTAGATGGTACCTACAGAGCAAACATTGCACAAAAATGATCCTTATGACTAATTTTGTTAACAGGTTCTATTAAGTGTGTGTGCGAAATGACAAAATTGCCCTTTGTTATTACTTTTTTATATTTATTTTAATGTTTTGTTAATTTGTAATAAAAAAGGTGGGATCCTCTCTCTCTCTCTCTCACGTACACATATACACATACACATACACATACACATATTGACATAAAAACATACATACACAGAGGGTCCAATTGAAATCAGTATCATTCCATCAAAATCAAAATGTTGGCAAAGATCTAGTTCCAATTGAAATCAGGTGGGTCCGATTGCAGGGGTTTTGAGGCTCGATTTCATGGGTTTCACCCAGATGATAAACATACAAAAGTCGAAGATGGAAGGACTTTGAGAAAGCAATTTGATAGTGAAAACTTTTAAGGAAATTAAGGAAGGGTTAGAGAAGATGGATCTGAAAGCATGTCCGACGGGAGTGATAATGTCAAAGCTGCATCCAACGACGATGTCCCACCTAGCTCTCTTTCCAGATCTCTTTGGAGACATACATATCATTGGCATACTCCACACACACACACACAAGCTTCTGATTCTTCTTATTAATTGTTTATGATTTCTTATTCTATTGTGCATTATCGCTACTAGCTTCTAGCTCCGACGAGATTGGATCAGTAGTGGTGAGACAATAAAATGGTAGATTTATGCTTTTTAACCAATCAAACTCTTTAAATATATTGGAATTCGGAAGAGGGATTCGGCCATTTGGGTGTTGCTGATACTGGACACACCAAGTCGAAACCCAACTGTAACATCCCAAGTTTTGGCATTTGTAGTCCATGGGAATGGAAGGGTAAAGTCTTGAAGAGCCCAAGGGTTAAATTGTAAGTTTGGGATCAGGAAGCGTAAGCGCATAAGGGTACGCTAAGCATTCTAGGGCGCGCCCTAGTACGCTGGGCGTACACTTGTGTATGCTGGGCGTACTCATAATGTAACACCGTAAAAATTTGAACAATTTTTCACTTTTGTAACCCATAAAATATCATTTGAAATCATAAAAAAATCATTATATCAACATTGTATCAATACAAAACCCAAGATCAAAATATATATAAACTCCGGTATGCGTGTGTACGAATCATGCCGACACCTTCCCGCGATCATCGCTTGTACCTGAAACACATAACACATAACACTGTAAGCATAAATGCTTAGTGAGTTCCCCAAAATACCACTCTAACACATAATAGCCACTCAAGGCTGTAACTCTGTTGACCCTCGGGTCTATGTGTCTCAGTGGGGCCCTCCAGCCCCAACTCTCTGTGGGCCCTCTGGCCCTAACTCTGTGGACCCGAAGGTCCTAACTTTGTGGACCCGAAGGTCCTAACTCTGTGGACCCGAAGGTCCTAACTCTGAATCATACATAGCACATATCACAATAAATCATAGCACATAAATAACATGCAATTACACTGGCATATAACTCAAAAATACTCTATCGCATAACTCTGTTACCACACTAGGTAAAGTATAGTGAGAAGACTCACCTCAGACGTCTCGGTAAATCTCTAACTCGGTAGGAATACTGCCTAGTCTTCGCCTATTCACATAAAGTAAATACTCTTATAAATATAATTCTCAAGAGTAGACTCAACCTGCCTTTGGCACCCTCAGGAGGGAAAAAGGCTATTTTACCCCCCTCTCGACACAAGTACTCCATTGACCAAACCCTAAAAGTCAACGGTCATATTTTGACCCTACTCGCCGAGTGCACCTTGGTGACTCGACAAGTTCACACATGTTCTTTAACACTTTGTCCCGCTTGGCACGCCGAGTCCCTCCCTATGCTTGACAAGTCATACTAGGCATGAATCACGGGGCCACCACGACTCAACTCGGCGAGTACCACCTTGAACTCCAGTCCTCTAACTCCCTTCTGACTCACTGAGTCATCCCCAACTCAGCAAATCTACTCACTGAGAAATTTACGTGAAACCCAAACCCTACTCGCCGAGTCTCAGGAACAACTCGGCGAGTTCATGCCATGCACAAACTCTACTGGCCTCCTGAGGTCAGATCTGTTTCCCTAAATCAAAGATCTAGCCTTCCCAAGCATGAATGTCATGTAAATCTCGAAACTTGATGCTTGTATAACAACAACAAGGCATCAAAAGGAGATTTAGTCCCAAAAATGGCAACCTAAGTCCAATAACCCCAAACTGATCCATAAAGCTCCAAGGGTTAAGGTCTCTGGACCTCTTTGAGTCCAGATCCAAGGCACAAACTCGAAGAGGGACCATTTGTTCCACATAATCACTCTCCAAAGGGGTTATAAAACCTTAACTCTAATGATCAACACCAAAACTGAAGGAGGTTCGAACTATTACCTCAAAATGAAGTCTCTGAATCCCTGGAACTGCTAGAATCGCACCTCCCCTCTTGCTCTTGCACCTCCTTCTTGCTAAACCAAAGATACAAGGATCAAAAGTGACTTCTTCTTCCTCACAACGATTTGGCTCACTTAGGGTTCTCTCAAGGGATTGGTAGCCGCAATGAGAGGCTATAAGTGCCCTTAAATAGGCTCCAAACCCGGGGATTTATGGTTTCATTAAACAGCGTGGACTCGCCGAGTCCAAAGCGAATCCGGATGAACAATCACGACCCTACTCGGCGAGTCTACGCATCAACTCGCCGAGTTCCTTCTCATAATTCAAAAATAATTAAATAAAATAATATACATGCAAACCCAGCTGTTACACATAACAAGAAGAAACCCTAATGTCTTGGCTTGGGGGCTATATAAATGTCATTATGGTTCATTTTCTCTAATCATTCTCAACCTCCATTTTCCAGAAACGTCACGAAACCCTAGTTTTTGTGTGAGAGTGTGAGGTGGTGGGTATTTTGAGCTCTTGGAGGTAAAGGCATTGCACCAAGAAGTTGGAGAAGAAGATTGGCTTGAAGATCTGAAGTTGGTGTGTATTCTAGAAGCTCCATGAGGTAAAAAGCTTGTAAATTTATTCTTGTACGAGTTAGATCTAGTTATTTAAGCTTCATGGAAGCATTCTTGTCCCAAAAAGTCCCAAAATGGTGCATGTCATGATTAGGACGAGATGAGTTGTCCTTTCAGGCTCTTGAAGAGGTTATGTGTGTTAAAAATGAGGTCTCAATGACTTAAGTGTCCCATGAATGCATTAGGAAGGTCTTAATGGATTAATCCCTTAGATTAAGAGCTTTCTAGACATCCAAAGTGATAAAGTTCGAGAATTTATGAGTCCTAGGAATAATTGGTCGATGGATCTGAAGTTTGGGCTTAAGTGCTTAAGCCATTAAGCACTTATGAGAGTTTTTGTTCAGCTCGCATATGCCCCACGTAGGTACAAGTATGCCCCGCGTACTGGTTCAATGGCCCATTTTCTAGTCAACAAGAGTCAAAGTATGCCCCACGTACCAGAGGGGTACGCCCAGCGTATGTCCTCTAGTGGGGGTTTTTGATATTGGGCTTCAACTTTGGGCTGTCTATGGACTAGATGGACTTGGACCTTTACTGGACATTGTGGGTAAGGTGTTTTAGGCCAAGTCTTGGTTTTGGATGTTGGATGTAAGCCCAATTAGGTTGTTGGGCCCAGTTTGGAAAGTTGGGCCAATGTTGGGCCTTGTTATATGGAATTAGATCATGGGTTTGGTTTTGGGCTTTAGCCCCAAATTTTAGGAAATAAAATTGGCTATTATTGTATGAGTGATTCTTGGTCAAGATTTATACTCCCGTGTATTGAATCATTATTTGCTATTCTGGATAGTTCGGGATTTTCGGTGAGATGGTGGTTCAGGAATCTGCTTCTTCGGTTCAGATCGGCATTTCGAGGTGAGTTATCCTCACTATTGTTGGATTAGTGTCTAAGTCCATAACTATTTTGGTATGTACTTGACCTGATGGTGCATGGTCCTTTTGGGTTACCTTCAGCAAAGCAACTTGATAGGATGAATTATGGAGAGAAAGGATTAAATATGATTTATTAATATATTATGAGAATAATATATTAAAGGAGAAACCATATTGTTTAATTAATATTAGTCAAGAATTAATAAGAATTAAGTTTGTGGCTAAAAGAGATTAATTAAACTTAAGGGACTGAATTGTAATTATAAGATAATTGCAATTGGGCTATGGATTACCTTATTATATAAGGTTGGACGAATTCTATGGGGAGACCCATTAGAAATCGTCCAAGGCCTTTAAGAAAGGAATCCATGGGCTACGTAGGGCTTAAGTAGTTAGATTAGGGTTTCCTAGTTTAAAACCCTAATAGCCTACATGTATAAATAGCACCCTTTAAGCCCCAAAAACGTGGTGATGAGAT